TCACAAGAGTCCAGCCATACCAGTATATTACAAGAAGTAACTTATTACATACTAGAGGCCCAGTGCATGAAATTCGTGCACTGGAGGGGGGGGGTGTCCCTCAGCCCAGCCTGCACCCTCTCCAATCTGGGACATCCCTCTCACAATCCGGGGACTGCTGGCTCCTAACCACTCACCTGCTTGATTGCCCCTAACTGCTGCTGCCTGCCTGCCTGATCACCCCCAACCGCTTCCCTGCCGGCCTGATTGACACCTAACTGCTCCCCTGCCGGCCCAATTGCCCCTAACTGCCCTCCCCTGCAGGCCTAGTCACCCCCCATCTGCCTTCCCCTGCAGGCCTGGTTGCCCCCAACTGCCCTCCTGTGCCAGCCATCTTGTGACAACGTGTGGGCGGCCATCTTGTGACACGAAGGTGTGAGGGTCAATTTGCATATTACCTCTTTATTATATAGGATGAATCCTTTCACTAAGCAATCAGCTGTATGATTGACATTGTTTTGAAGTGGCATCTTATTCTGTACATATTATGATCATAACTTTACAGTTTTTGAGATAGAATATGTAAAACCCTCACCTCCTACCTTACCAAATTTTGCTCTTTTGTGCATCCCAGCCATCCTGAAAGTATTTTAGTGCCTTTTAATGCTTCCCTGTTTTCATTCACAGAGTAAAACACACTGAGGGTCTATTGTTTAATACTCCATATGAAAATAAATAGTTGCACTAAAATAATTCAATACAGAATGTGTAGAATTTTCCTTAACTCATTAAGATAAATGGAGGTAACTCCTGAGGTAGGAGGTGTGTATTGTGGATTTTTCTATCTTTATCTTTAGGAATAGATAGGGTCACAGCTGTCTAAAATGGCCAAGGATATCTGTTCCTTGTGCATGAATTGATGCCTTTAGGAACCCAGTAAATATTTAAACTTAATTGAAAGATTGTATCACTATGTCAGAAGTAAAGAGTTAATTATCTGAAGTTTTCTCTTAAACTTACTTTGATGGTGACGCACTCTCTTGAAGTTTTCTTAAAATAAAGAAATGACTTGAGAAGTTGTTAAGACTCTTGTAATTAAAAAAATATGTTAAAAATCACATTGTCTAAATACATGTCCTTAAAAATATTTCATATGTCTTGTCATTTATGGTCTTTTAATCACTTGAATATTTGTGACTTTTTTCTCCCTTTTCTACACATGCATAAAATTTAGTTGTCCTGAGAGTGCTAAATTTTTACTATTTGTTTTTTATGCTCTATTTTATAGTTACTTTTATCTTTTTGGTCAGGGAAATACTGAGTTTTAAGCAATGTCAAAATATCAACTTCAAAATCTGGTTTTAATAGTTTTCTCTGTCCTGGTCTGCTTTCCTAGTTTAAAGATGTTGTTGTTTTCTTTTATAAAATTAAAGGATTCAAAAAGAGTTTATTGCATTTGGATTGCAGAAGTAAATTTCCATTAAGCTTGGTTATAACTTATGTGACTGAATATACTTATGGCAAATTATTTTAAGCTTTAAAGACACGTTTCTTTCCTTGGCTCTAATAGAACTGGACTCCCTCTGGACCCTATTTCAAGTAGAGTTGTTCTGAATAAGTAGTATATTCCCAGGGGCATGGCTTAGTCTTATTTGTTGTAACCACAAATAGCATAGTGTTTTCAGTTGAAAGTGTGGTCCTATCTATCGTTAAGGTAATTGCTATAGTAGGCTTTGAAAATTCTTTTAGCATTAGATGTTTACACACTGACTATTACAGAGGAGGATATAGGCATTAACCATAACTCCATTTTAATACATTGTTCAATGGATGTCTAAACTTACATCTTGATGTGTTATATCTAAGAAGTATTAATATCTAGTGATTTTGCAGATAACAAAATATAAATGGTGTGTTAATAGCAAAAAGAAATGCATTTTTTGAAAAAGCCAAAGACATTTTGATTGTAAATGGGCACAGTAGTTTTTCTTTTCATCCGTGCTATGTAATAACTAGCTTTTGCTTAAAATTAAATCCATTAAGTCTTCAGTAGAAGGAAGATAATAAATAAAACTTTCCTATTTCCCTTTTTCCTAGACTCAGTATTCATTGATAACATACTCCATTTTTCTCCAAATTCTTCTGAATAATGTTAGTATATTCTATGCATTAAGTGATCCTCTATAAATTATATCTGCGTAAATTTTATTCTGCTATTTTGGCTGAAACAAAATATCTCAAACTAGAGAGAATGTTTGAAAGTTTCTCAGTGAAGTGAATTGACCTGTAAATTGACCAATAGTTTGTTAAAATAGAATAGAAATCTTCAATATAAGTTCACAAAATACTGAATTGAGTATTAAAAGAGTGATTTTAAGTTCTGTCACCAGAGTTAACCTTTCGAATATCTAAGAACCGTTAACAGTTGCAGTAGTCGCTTCTCAGAGTTCCTTTTCTCCAAGTGGCTTGTTTTCTTCGCTTTGTTTACCTTCATCGGATGACTGCCTGCCAGTGTATGTTTTCCCCTTTGTGACAGTGCTGGTTACTTTTTTTTCTAGGTCATGGTTGTCAGAAATAGGCAAAGCACACACTACTGTTTATAGATTGTGGTAACAAAGTATCCTTGACTATCAGCACTGTCCAATACAACTTCCTATAATGATGGAAATGTTCTATGTTTGTTCTGTGCAGCAGTGGTAGCCACTAGCCATGTAGGTGCTGAGCACTTGAAAAGTGGCTCATGAATCTGATACACTGAATTTTAAATTTTATTTAATGTTCATTAATTTATGTTTAGCCCCAGATGGCTAGTGGCTACTGTGTTGGACAGCATGGTTCTAGATGACCAGATTTAATCAGCATCATTTGTTCTCGCAAGTCTTATGTAACTTTTGCATCCATTAGCTTATATATCACAAGTAATAGGTTTTTTTTTCACATTTAACAGAATTTTCATTATAACTCAGTAAAACTGGAGAATAAAAATAAAGATTAGCTCTAAGAGAGTTGTGGTTTGGATCAAAGCTTAATTCTTATTTAGCTGCCTAACTTTAGAATATTACTATAGTGTGTGAGCTGAAAAACAAACAATATAAATAAGTAATATAAATAATATAAATAAGTGTCCTGTAATTTGTGACTTATACTTCTTACTGGCAGAAGCTTGCCAAATGTGTAAATCATTCTGTGCTTGTCATTCCTTCAATAAAAGAAAATAATACCTAAAGACAAAGAAGTCTTTGTCTTCTGGAGGTAGTCCATATATTGCTAATCATAATGGATTGGTTACACAAAGAATATTTACTGGTATAACCTGGGGAGAGGATAAAAATGTAAACATTTTAAAAGAATACTTTGTGTGGTTTTTTTTAGTGCTTTGTTTTTTAATCAACATTCACAGTGATGGGAATGGCTATTGCTAAGGAGAATAATTTGAGAATTAGTAATGCTTTTAAACTGTTTAAGAAGGCTTGCAATAGTACTGAAATCTAAACAAAACATTGATTTTGTAATCCATTTCATACTTTGAAAAAGGAGTTATATATTTGGAAAGAATGTTTCTGCACTAAGTTGTTTGTCTTTATTCATATTTAGTTTCAAAATATCCTGTCTATAAATCAAAATGATTCTTAAGATATTTAGATCACTAGGAAATGATTGTTTTCAATTCAAATGGATAAACATCATTTTGCATATTGTTTTAGAAATTCAAGTCAATGGTTTTATAAAATTTTATGTAGTAACTAGAGGCCTGATGCACGAAATTTGTACAAGAGTAGGCCTTCTTTCCCCCAGCTGCCGGCACCGGCTTTTCCCTCTGGCACTGGCTTCCCTCCAGCACCCGGGACCTGGGCTTCCCTCTGGCCATCAGCAGGCACCGGGACTCGGGCTTCCCTCTCACCGTGGCAGGCACCCGGGACCCCGGCTTCCCTCGCAGCCCTGGCTTTGTCCAGAAGGTTGTCTGGAAGGACTCCCAGTCTAATTAGCATATTATGCTTTTATTATGATAGATTCTGTTAAGCCACTGTTGTGATTTTCTCATTGTATATTGGTTTTAGTTTGTACTTTATTTTTTGGATTAAGTTATGAGTTTCTATACTTGCCTTTTTGCTGGTATTTCCTTCCTAATGTTGAGGGGACCAGTGCTGGGGCGTAGAGTTGAACAAAGTTTGATGGCAGTAAACTACTTCCTAGTTGATAGATATTTCAGCTGCTTTGGACTGAAAAATTCTAAAAACTAGTTGTGCATCCTAGCAGTCAGTGGTTTCATTAATGCTGCCAAAGTTGTGGCACAGGGTAGGATGAGGTGGACTAGGGCCTTCTTTCTCGGCATCAGAACTGAAGTACTGTGGTTGCTGCTTTTACTGTCCTCAGGAGTGAGAAACTAAGGTCCCATATCATTAGTTGAAACTGACAAATACTATACTTTCAAGGCTGACTTAAGTAAAAGGAGAACAAAGGAATATGGGACTAAATAAATGAGACTTTTCAAAAAATATTTAAAACAACAGAGATCTTAAAGTAAGAAATTGCAGTTGAAGAGACTATGGTGAGGGCAGATAATAGATCAAAAACATCATTAATATTTTTTAAAAATATATTTTATTGATTTTTTTTACAGAGAGGAAGGAAGAGGGACAGAGAGTTAGAAACATCGATCAGAGAGAAACATCTATCAGCTGCCTCCTGCACACTCCCCACTGGGTATGTGCCTGCAACCAAGGTACATGCCCTTGACCAGAATGGAACCTGGGACCCTTGAGTCCGCAGGCCGACGCTCTATCCACTGAGCCAAACCAGTTAGGGCAGAAACATTATTTTTAAAGAAATAGTTATCTGTAAGTAAAGGACTGATTTTGTTCCTTATGATAGATTAACAGCATATGTAAGAAAACCATTTAGCTCAGTTAAACAAGTTCCTTTACCTTCGAGGGTGGGAAGTCAGGGAGAGACAGGCTCAGCTGCTATTTACATCTCTGACCTAGGCTCCTATTTGACCTAAGTCTGTCTTAATGCAGCAGCACAGGCCAGCGAGGAGGCCGTGGCATTTCGCCGTGAACGCAGCACATTTAGGCGCCAGGCAGTACGGCGCCGGCACAATGCAGGGAGTAACCCTACCCCTCCTACATTGCTCATCGGATCACCCCTAAGGTATGGTATCTTAAGATTCCACCAAGCTTAGCATGTGTGTAACAGACATTCTAACCTGTCCTGTCAGCACAGGGAAGCATTGAAATAGCTGTGTTATTCTTTTTCTTCCAGTTTCCCTCATATACTTTTATGCTCTTTAGGCTTTCTCTGCATGTGATCATGAACCTATTGCATTATGCATGCTTTATGTTGCACTTCTTAAACAAAATGATCAGATTGGTTTACCCAACTTTGAATAGAAAAATCGGTTTAAGGTAGTTTTAGAAATGTAAAGAGAGACCTTAAGTCAGCTCTTCCTTTTTTTTGGACTCCAAATTAACAATACAACATCTTGACAGTGTTTAATATGAACAAATACAGACTGAGTGGTAGACTTGTTGAGGAATAACAAACTGATCTCTGCTTGAAACCAGTTTGATTATTTTATTTCGCTAAAAAATATATTTTGTATTGCTTAAAAATTGTTTCATAATCACCAGGACCTACTAAGTGATACAAAACTAAAGTATTTATGGTCAAGTATGGTAAATTGGATATAAGTATATATTTTTTAATGCATATCTATGTTGAATTCTCAACCTCTAATGTACTGAAAAAACAAAACAAAACATTTTAAGTTTTTCCAGTGTCCTAATTAAGAAAGCATCTGTTTATAATATTGGGAATAATTTTTCATTAAAATTTTAGTGTTTTATTCTCAATTGTGTCCAATCTAATGAGTTTATGTCTTGAATTAGAAATATAAAAATCTGTTAAAAAATTTGTGTTCTCTTTTAAGAATACAAATATAGACAAACATACTTTACATGTGCTTGCTTAAACAGTGCACATATTATACTATATACTTTATTAATCTTTGTATCTGAAAGCACTATTACCCAAATTATTTACCTATATTTTAATTTGTAATTCAAAAGGAGGAACATTTGATGAAATAGCTGCTGTTGAATGCATGGTAGGTTGGAAGAGATAAACCACTTTCCTTGTTAAAATATTGTTCTTAAGAGTAGCAAAATCCTTATTTTTTTATTTTATGGGATTTATGACTTGATTATTTTACATTATAACCAGGAACCTCATCTTTCATAGGTCATGTTCCTAATTAATCTGCAGGAATACATAATTCTGTAAAAAGTAACATGGATTAGTTTAAGCAATATTTAAAATATAAAAATGGGGAGGCACCAATTAAAAGAAACATTGGATCTAGAAACCTGTTCTGAGCACCTTTGCTTTTTGTGAGTCCTCCTCTTCTTCCTTTCCACCTCTTTCTGTGCTCCCTGAAGTAACTTTCTTTCTCTCATGGATTTGGGGTAGTACCAAACTGCAGAAAGCTCAGCACTTCATTTTACTTTTTCTGTTTTGTGCTTTCTAACCTCTTCTTTTTATCCCTTGAATAATACTTGCTGTAGGTATCTTTGCTTTCTTACTCACTCCATGTTGATATTTATTAATCCTTTTTTTAAATCTCTTTTTTAGTCTTTAAAAATCCTTCATTTCTTTGCCACAAATGAGTCTGCTGGATCCCATTCATCAAACAAATGTAGACAAATTAGTTTTCTTCTCTGCCTGGTGGAATATTAAAGAACTGTGTTTTAACTCCAGCCAATCACGGAGGATTTCTCCATGTTTTGTAGGATTTTAAATACATCACCATTCAAATGCGGATATAATATGAAACTTACTTAAAAAGGGCTCACATTAGAATTTTTGGAGAGTAATTTTCCAGTAGTCAGCTTGTAGATTTTATCAAGGTTCCAGGAAGGTTATATGTATCTTAAATAGGCTGACTTCATTATGGATGAAATAAGATAAAATTTAGCTGGGAGGAATTACAAGAAACACCAATTTACTAAAATCTTTTTAAATTGCAAAAATGTTCAGGAAAAATACTAGTATGTTGGTGTTAATTCTCAGTGTGGGTTACATAATAATAATCTTAAAGTAAATACAGGATGGCACGTTCATGCAAAACTTGGAAAATTTGTCAAAAAGAAATGGAATAGGTGTGATAATACTTTAATTACAATTATTATATAACTACTAGTAAACTCTAACTTATTTTAAACTTTAGTGAATAGTCTAAATAATCAACACTTTAAAAGGCAATGGGGTAAAATATGTCTCCAAGGATTGGGAGTGAATCATCAATTTCCTTACAAAGAAGATTTGTTTCAAAACTAATTTAAAAAGGGTGTGTTTTTTCCCATTATGTTTGCCTTGTAGGGTAGGTTTTACAGTAGGCCCTTACTGGTCTTTCCCAGTTACTAGAGATAAAAGCAAAGACAAAAATTTAAAAATTTTGTAACATTAATATTAACAAGTCTATATGTCTGTACTTATCAACTGAAATGTGATATTTTTTAGAACTCTAGTTAATGGGGTGGAATGGAAAATTATTAGTGCATTATAAAAGCTTTAGTGTATCCTTAGATTTATTTTCAAAAGTGTAAGATTGAAAGATCGGTAGTCAAATAAAGTCATAGCAATAACTGAGAGTCTTTGATTAGGAATTCATAGGGATCATTTTGTGGTGCTCAGGAATAGATCACTCAATATCTGTTGTTTGTGTACTTTGCTCAAGACACTCTTCTACTCAGAATCTGGAGATTCATAGAAATAATGTGATCAAACTCTTTGAGGTTACTTTTTAGTTGAGCAGACACATATAAAGATAACTGACAGTATAAGTCAGAATATGTCAAATACTAAATAAGTGTACAGAGGAAGGAAAGACCAACCATATTTTTCTGTCATTTAAATTGGAAATGTTCATTAGTAAGATTGCTTGTCAGTGATGCTATTGATAGCCCACTAAATTTCTACCTTTTCTTGTGCTGTGTTGTAAAACAGTTGCTATCTTTTCTTAAACTGGTAGTTTTGATATGTAATTGTACTCTTAAAAAGATTAATTTCTTATCAATTATTATCTTAAATTAAGTATAACCCTCCAGGAACAGTTTTCCTAATACTTTCTGCAGAAATGACATGCTTCCTGTTTTCAGGAACACGAGTTCGAAGGACTTAAACATTTTATGACTAGCTTTGTATGTTAAAAAACTTGACATTTATAAACGCTAGATTTTGGCTAATTTACTTTGTTTCTTTATTCTGGAGTTTTCATGTATCACCTGATATTTTGAAAACCTTTCTGTATATCTGGATATGTTGAAGATCAGTGTATTCTCATAGGTTCACATTAAAATACACCTAACTGCCATATGGAACCTCTGTTTATGACTTTCAGTGGAAAAAATTGACAGGAAAATTTGTTGAGTACATATTTCTGCTCTTGTGCATCCAAAGGGACATAGTGCTTGAACTACTTAAATATTTTTCCTTGGAATTCCCTCCTTTGTGAAATTTGGTCATTTTGGTAAGGTTTGTGGATAAGGTTAGGAAGTTTCTGAGACTTTATGTATGTATAGGAGACACAAACATGTTTGATTATATTAGTTCTCAAGGTCATCTCTTGATTTATGTCTATTATACAAAAATTCTACTCCAAATAAGTTACTAACTGAATACTTTTATGGTTATGGCTTAAAAATGCCAGTAAGCATTGCCAAATCAGCATTTTGCAGACTTGGTTTTTTGTATGTTACATTTCTATGCTCTACTTAAAGTATATACCTTTCATTGGCTTAAAGAAAACTGAGAGGTACATGTTCCCGTAGCGGTGGCCAGTAGGACTTTGTGTGGTGGTGGAATAGTCTATAATCTACACTGTCTTTTAAGGTAGACACTAACTTCTACCTGTTCTGGTAGCTTTTTGCTATGGTAGCCACTGGCCACTTTGCCTGGTAAGCACTTAAAATACGTTAGTGGGACTGAGGAAATACAGTTTTAGTTACTTTAAATTCTTACGTGCCTACTCAATCACACAGTGCAGTTCCAGAATGTATTCTGTTGCCATAACTGTAGATGTAAGCAATATATGTAGTGTTTTCTACTTAAATCTTTTATTTCAAGGTTATTTCAAATTATACCTCTCTTCAGTCTGCAGCAGATGAGTTTATTTTATAGGCATCAGAGAAACCATTACATTGAATTCAAAGAAGTTGACAATCATGAATATACTAAAATAACTGAAGGAGGCCATCCTAAGTAGCATTCTTCTTTATATTTCCTGAAGGTCTAATGCAGGGGTCCTCAAACTTTTTAAACAGGGGGCCAGTTCACTGTCCCTCAGATCGTTGGAGGGCCGGACTATAGTTTAAAAAAAACAACTACGAACAAATTCCTATGCACACTGCACATACCTTATTTTGAGGTAAAAAAACAAAACGGGAACAAATACAATATTTGTATTTGCATGTGGCACGCGGGCCGTAGTTTGAGGTCCCCTGGTCTAATGATTTTAGTAATAGAAATGCAGTATTGCATTGAACATAATGTAGAGAATGACATATAATAATTATACTCAAAATGTTTTCATGAGTTTCATCAGTTTAAATTTGTGTATTGTACTGATATTAAAATTCACAGTGTTTTAAAATAAATATATAAAAATATAAAATGAGTTAAGAATATAGTTTCTTAATTTAGATAATTTTTAGATAAATAATTTTAATAAATCAATTTATAAGCACAAAATACTAAGTGTTTTAAGAATATTATTAAATTTAGAAAAGTTAATAATAACCCTTGAGAAATTACTGGTTTCCAAATTATTTTTAAGATTTTCTAAAATGATGGTTCTTGTTAATGACACCATAACATGGTTTGGAGAAAGGTACTAACACAATTTAAAGGAACATAATTATTGTTAACTAACACCTTGTGTGTAAGGCCTATGGCCTTATTTCAGAAGTATATGGGCTTTTCAAAGAGAAAAACTCTTCATACTATATATTATACTTCTTCTAGTGTCCCAGTGGTCATTAATTCACTTGGTGGAGTTGGTGTTTGTTATTCAGGTTCTCTTGCACTAGTTTGTGACTTTTTTTAATTCAAAATTGTCATCTTGGTCAAATTTCATAAATATTCTTTGGTTTTCAGGTGGGTAGAAATTTGGTTTCATTGTGAATTTGAGATTTCAGAACATTTGAAAGAACAACTCTAGAATTAGTATTATAAGTTATAAATAAAAGTGTGTATTTAACTGAAAAATAGGATTTAATTGGGAACAGCTACAACCCACATATATTTTATGTACTTGTGATTCTTTTTTGCTGCATTCTCTTTCCTTATACTAGAACTTTTTTTGGTTCGAGGTGGAAAAAAGTCACAGATTGATTGATTTACATATACATTAAATGTTTACTGCGCTCATCACTATGAATCAGGTTTCTAAGGACCAGAAAACTTAAGCCGGCAGTATGATCTGTATATTTTACAAAGTTTATTGGTTCTTAGGTTACATTAGAAAAAAAATTTTTAAATTAGTTTTTTCTATATTGACTTCATTCTAGCTATTGTTTTCTCTTTTCTTCCCTGTAATGTCTCCCCAATCCATGTTTTTTCCTAGCCTTCAAGATGGGCAGCAAGGCCAGCAGTCCACAGCCCAGGTCAAAGGCCAGTCCCGCCCCCCTTCCCAGGCTGCAGTGCTCAGTGCTAGTGCCTCCTTGCTGGTGAGAAATGGGAGTGTCCACTTAGAAGCATCACATGACAATGCATCTGCTGTAGGCGGCAGCAGTTTGCACGATGAACTTGGTATGCAGGCCTTATGTAATCTTGGTGATAGAAACTTTAATGCAGCAGATAATGGGTAACAGTGATTGCAATTCTTTCTTGAGATAGCACTTTTGACAGGATTTGCCCGTCGTGTAAGGAACATTTGACATTTGCTTTTCCCTTTTCTGTTTCAAAGGTTATTCTGTATTTTCTTGTGAGCATGCCTATTATTAATAGGTAGTTAAATGGATTAATGAATGCTCGCACGAATGGTTTGGGCAGTTCTGTTATTCCTTGGCATTATTTGTACCACGTGGGAAAATGTTGATTTAAAAAAGTTATTTTGATTAAGCCTTACTTTCTTTGAATTCTCCGAATGTGCTGCATGAAAGGCAAAATTGCTTACTAATGGTCTGTACTATAGAATCTTTTAGTTATTGTATATTTCACTTCCATGTTCATCACCTGACTTGGAGGACTTTATGGCTCTACACTAATATCAAATAAGAACTTAATAAAGTTTTTCTTCTTGTGTTAATAAATTTATAAATATAAGTTATTAGTTAATTCTCAGAGGGTTGTATAGTCTAAAGCCTTAATGAATATCCACTCAAATACCAGTTTCATGCCTTCATGACAGTGTTTTATACTACTTTGGTTTTTATTTCTCTGTACAATTTCTCTTTCTTGTCCTCAGATGCAGATTATTAACAATTTAAATAAATATAATGAAATTCTTATTAAAAAGTACACATTTGAAAGGATTCCATTTGTTTACTGTGATTTTGTTTATCCATATTATAACTACCTTTCATTTATAAAGATAATAATCCAGTTGATGCTTTGATTAGAAGGATATGTGGTATAAGGTGCCCAAATTAGGTATAATAAAATTTGAAATGCTATTTATTTTTTCTCTTTCCATTTTGTAATAATCTTTAGTTACAAGAGATATTAATAAATATTAGATGTGCATATTGATGAAAATAATCTTTAGCAAATCTTATAGAAACTTGAAAATGGTCATCTAAGATACTTATTATATTAGAATGTGTGATGACTTCTAAATAAAATGAGAGGACAAAACATTTTAAGTTGAGAATGTTTTGGCTTTTGAGTTTGTAATTTAAAGAAGCAAGGGAGTCCATAAGGAGGGTGTTTGAGAGAGAGTAAGATAGACTTCAGTTTAGTTACTTGCTTTGACTTAAGACATAGTGATATATTTTTAATTGCAAGTATAGTCAGTTAATAATATCTTTTTATTGGTATTTCCCTCAGGTTAACCCAAAGTTTCTACGAACAGAGGACTTATAAAATTTGTGCTTATAAAATTACAGTCACCATCACCATTCCTATTGGGTTTATGGTAATAGATTAGCTAAAATAGGCTTAGTTTTGACCTATTTGGATTTTTAGACTTTTGTCAAATCAAGCATAAAATTAAACAGTAAATGATTTTTCTCAATAAAAATCTCACTCTAAATACACATGCAGATTATTGAAAACTAGAGGCCTGGTGCATGAAAATTCATGCACTGGAAGGGGAGAGGGTCCCTCAGCCTGACCTGCCCCTTCTCATAGTCCAGAAGCCCTCAGGGGTGGGAGGCGACTCCGTGATCAGGGGAAGGTGATGCCCCATCACACCTCTGCTGTTGCTGCTGCCAGCAGCGCAAGCCTCAGCCAGCCCTGGTTGCCTGAGCCTCAGGCGGCCCTGGGTGGCTGGGTAGCTGCCATCTGAGGCTTGCCTGCATCTCGGACCGGCCCTGGGGGGCTGAGGGGACTGGGGGACTCCGGAAGCAGGCGCACGGAGTGGCTGGGCCTGCGTAGGGGCAGGCCCGGTCTTGCCGTGCACCTGCCTCCCCAGCAGGGCTGAGGGGACTGGGCACCGCCATCTTTGAGGGTGTGGCAATCAATTAGCATATTCCCTCCTTATTGGCTGTGGGCGCCGCCATCTTTGCAATTGTGTGAGGGTCAATTAGCATATTCCCTCATTATTAGATAGGATATGTATATACTAGAGGCCTGGTGCATGGATTTGTGCACCGTTGGGGTCCCTTGGCCTGGCCTGCACCCTCTCGCAATCCAGGACCTCTCGGGGGATGTCGGAGGTCCAATGCACGGATTCGACCCGATCCCCGCAGGCCAGGCTGAGGGACCTCACAGTGCACGAACCCGTGCACTGGGCCTCTAGTATGCATGTAAGATCTTTGGTTAATCTCTTCCTGCCCTCCCATCTCCCCCTGTCCCTCTGAGATTCATCAGTCTGTTCCATGTTTCCATGCCTGTGTGTTGAGCATCTGCCCCCTGGTGATCAGTGTGTGTCATAGCTATCGGTGGCATGGTCGCTTAGGCTTTTATATATAGAGATGAGTTATGTTGACAGTTCTGAAGATAAAAAGGTTCTTCAGATTGGAGGTGACTTGAGCATCTATTGGTGAATATTCAGAATATTCTCTTGAAATTTAGATTTTTTTCTTTTATATTAGCTGCTTTCTGATAGCTAGTTCTTAGACTGTGGTAGCTGAATGCTGTCAAATTGAATACATAGTAAAAATGAACAAAAACCAAGTAATCAATGGACAGTGTCTATTGTTCCATAGCACATAAAGTTGGCTGAAAAAGATTCTGAAAATGAACTGCATTTGAGTTTAAAAGAGTTGGTAAACATTGATTTTTTATAATATAGTATACTAGAATATTTTTGTTGCATAGTTTAATTTTCTACATGATTTCAGTTAACAATAGTAAGATAATTTTGTGTGAATGAATTTGGTATTATATACTAGTAATCAAATATATTAAAGATAGCCGTGATATTCCCTAAAAGTAGAGTTATTTACCAAAATTGCTCCTTTCCAAATTTAGCTCCTTTAATTGAAAAATTTTAAGTGTACACTATTTATGTTTGAAAATGTATACATACACATAATACATTTACATAAAATATTCATACACATATACACACTCAAAATTACATATATACACTCATACACACACACACACATACACACACATATATATATATTTGAGTGCATATAAATGTTTGTATATGTAATAAATGTGCTTGTCACTTTCTCCTACCTCCCCTGGACCCATGTAACATGGCAACTTCAAGCAGGAGAGAATATGCCCAGCCGAAATTCAGTGTGGGGAAGGTCCTATTATTAAAGGAAAAAAAATATATATATATTTGAGTGCATATAAATGTTTGTATATGTAATAATTGTGTGTTTACTTTTAAACTGAGGAATAGCCCTTTTGGATTAAAAGAAACTTATAGTCAAGCATTATTTAATTAAAAGTATAGGTAGTTTACTTTAACTGTTTTCTATATCTTTACTCTGTGATGTCATAGTAGACAACCACATTTATTTCCTATACTGAGAAGCCTTATTTCTCTATGTATTTTGACTAGAATTTCAAGGTTCTTAGGTAAAACTGAATAAGTATAAAATTTAAAACCTGGTTGGAAACATTTGGGTGGTTTTCTTTCTTATTGATAGACATCATTTCCATGCAGACTTATTTTTAAAAAGGTTTCAATGATGGAAGTTACGGATAGGTTTTAAAATTTACAATTTTGAAAAGGAAATTACTATAAAAGAATTTCTCAAATTCTTCAATGCTGCTCATTTAAAAAAATATCTTAAAGTTTAATTTCCTTCTCATCAAACTTTTATTGGACTTGTTTATTTGCCGTTGATTTTCTACTATATTCTGAATTAAATTGCAGTTTTACTAAATAAAACAAGCTGTGCTTAGTGCCCAGATAAGTCACACAAGAGATTCTGAATTCAGATAACCTTATATCTATTAAGCTTTTTCTATAAAATTTAGCAGTCATTTCTCAGTTGTTATGTGAATTTCAATTCCTATTTTGAATTAAGTTGAATAAATTGATGCAGTGATGAAACATGCTATTGTAGTTGATAGTTAAACTTAATATATATAACACATCCTCTCAGAGGAAATATTCCAGATAAGATCAGATAAAACAGGAAAATGTTTGTGTGTTTTTTCCCTGTGTATGAAATTAGTGGTGGATAATTGCTTTGAAAAAATATATACAAAATTAGTTTATTTTCATGTAAAAATGCTGTTATAATGAAAACGAGTTAAGCCTTTTCTAATTTCATTAATGAGGTTTAAAAAGTGGTAAGTGAATTGGTTTTCTAAAGTATTCTTTTGTTTCATTATTGTACAATGTTTGACAAAGAAGGTATTCTTTGAGATAATCCACTTTACTGCAGAACTTATTAACTTGAAAATGTAGTCAGCTCTAGCAAAAGACTTAAAGGAAATCTCGCACTACCTTACTGCCCTTGTTTTTAAGCAGTTTACAGCAACTGCATTATGAAGCAGAAACATGATTCGGAGGCTTTAAAAATTTTCACTTTAAAAGGCAGAGACTCAGATGATCTGCACTTTTAGCGAGTTTAATAGAGTTATTCTGGTGTTTAAAAAAGATTATATGTGTTTGTACTATTCTGTAGCATTTTGGGGTACATCATAAGTACTTTTCCTTACTGCTATGAATACAGAGTTCAGAGGCTATAAGGGACTTTTAAGTCTCTATTTCAGTCCCCTTTGTTATGGTAGATAATTTTTATTTATCTAAACAAAAATTTACATTTTTTTTGCAGCAACCTTGATCTTATCCTTTATTGTTACATTTATTTATTTATTTATTTATTTATTTATTTATTTATTAATTATTGATTCTAGAGAGAGAGGAAGGGAGAGGGAGAGAGAGAGACAAGCATTGATGTGAGAGTTAAACATTGATTGGTTGCCTCCTGCATGCACCACAGCCCTGGGATCAAACCTAAAACCTGGATATGTATCCCGATCGGGAATCAAACCTGCAACCTTAGGTGCATGGGGCCATGCTCAATCAACTGCGTAATACCAGCCCAGGCTATTGTTATTTTTTGAATACAAAAACTACGAAATTCTATTTTTCGTTTATTTTTTGTGGGGAGGGCAATATAAAGTATATATAAATGAAAGTAAAATGTTTCTTTTGATACCATAAAAAT